GCTTCCGGTCCCCTCCCCTGATGGTCCCATTCCACTTTCTGTCTCCATGAATTTGACAGCTCTAGGAACCTTCTAGAAGCAGAATCATGTAGCACCTGCCTCTTGTGACTAGCTTACTTCACTTGATCTAATGACTTCGGTATTTACCCATGTCATAACACGCATCTATTCCTTTTCTGAGCCAGATAATATTCCTTTGTGGAGATGTACATTCTCCGAACCATGCAGCTCCTCCTCAACCCTGAGCTGCTGCATCTTTGACTGTTGTAAAGGTCTTATGAACACCACAGGGGCCTTTGCTTTGGGGGCCTTGCATGAGACCCAAGGGCCAGCTGATATAAACATTTTAAATCCCTCAGTTCAGGGCTTGGGTGGGAAGCTGGGTTGGAGTGGAGAGGTGCAGTGGGGGTCTCAAAGACAGACCATAATTCTAACAGGTGAAGTCAGGGTGAGAGATGGGGTGAGCGCTTGCCTGGGGGAGGGGCTGGAACCTGGGGGAGCAGGGACAGGGCCAGGCAGAGAGGCGGCTGTGCTGCTGAACACAGGCTGAAGACGGGAGGTCTTCACTCATGCCTTCCATCCCTCGCTCCCACGGAGGGCATACCCCAGCTTCCTGACCATAGTGCCTGACCCTCCCTCTTGATAACTGGGCTGGTCAGTGTAGTGACTCAGTTTCCCCATTTGCAAAATGAGCACAACAATTAGGGGGCTAAGGGGGCAGATATCTCTAAGGCTCTTCAAACAGTGCTAGACACAGAGCAGACTCACAATTGAATTTAGACACTGTTTAGTCAATCCGGGTGTTGCTGACTAACGCTAGCCCAGAAACCTGAGTGGGAGACCTGGTGCTAGGCATGGGGTACAGCTGTAAAAACAGGGATCCCTCATGACAGGTCAGGGCTAGGGATGGTAACAATCAAGGCCAAACCTTAGCACCCCAGAACTCAGCCTCTGTGTGGGGTAGGCAGGGTCACAAGTAGACTCAAGCCTGGGAGAACAGGAATTCCCAGACTGTGGTGGGGGGCACACCTTAACAGGTGCAGGGTCTCCGTGACATCATAGGGTCTTGAGGACTAGCACCCAGTAGATGTCCACTGCTTTATAGATTAGCCTGGGTTACCAGAAGGTAGAAAGAGAAAGCAAGCCTAGCCTACAGAATCAAGGGGATCTGCAGGGAGACCCTGTGGGAAGGGAGAGAGGAGCTGTGACCTTTTGTCACCTGGCTGAGGGCCATGGCTACAGTCAGAAGAGAGGTTAGGTGGGCAGGGATAGTGGGAGGCTGAGACACTGTGGGGTGGCTGCCTACTCCCCTCCTGGCTATAGGACGTCCCACCCCTGCAACCTTTAGATCACTGTTTGAGGCTCTGAGGAGTGTGGACAAGGCCAGCTGAGCCCAGTGGGGATGGAGGCTGCCCAAGGCCACTGCCTTGACTCCTGACCTGCCTCGGGCCTGGTGTTCAGCCAAATCCCCTGAGGAGATGGAAAGTGGACTCAGGGCCCCCAGCTGCAGACCCAGCCAAGGCAAACACCCCGCCTACTCCACAGGAAAACACAACTGAGAGACCCAGTGGCCTCAGAGATCCCAGGGAGCTCGCAGGGTCCTTTGTCCAGCCCTCACCTGGGCCAGGCTCCTTACCATGGCCTCCACTGGCTTCTTCCCTCCACTGGAGTTCAGGCCTGGAGGGTCTCAGAGCTACCAAGCTACCTCCCATCTTCCTATGCTCTGCCCTCAGCCTGGAGCACCTGCCCTGGAGCACTCTGGTCTCTAGTCTTTCTCTTACCACCTTCAGGCCTTGCAAAGCCCATGCTGACCCCAGCTGAGGCTTCTATGCCTCATGTGTATTACCACCTCCTTCCCACAGCAGCTGGCCTGTAGTCCTCAGGGTTTCTGGTTCATGAGGTACTGAGCAGGCGGGTGTCTGGGTCCAACCTGCCACTTCGCCCTTGGGAAGTGGCCCTTGGGAGAGTCCTGATTACCCAAGACAGGGCATCAAGAGCCACTGTACACTGGGTTTGACCAGGATGGGGGTGGGGGGTGGAAAGTTTAGAGCCAGCCTGATCCATCTATTCTCTGGCCCAAATTGCCTTGTGTGATCCTGGGCAGCTGACTTCATCCTCAGAGCCCCTCTAGGCTGAGGTGCAGGCCCAGCCCAGCAGGTTCGCACAGTTGCTAAGCCTCAATGGTCTGTCACCCCACAGCCTTCTATTTCCTCCTCTCCCTGTCTGCCCCAGTCCCCAGCCTTGCTGGCTTCCCTGGACCTCCAGGAAGCACTGGGGGCTGCCAGCCACACAGCCCGGCTGTGGCCTTTTATCCCAGACAGGAAGACCTGGCTCAGCAGCCACTGCGGGTAGGATCTGGACCAGATGTTGGAAGCTGCGGGGAGCTGGGAACACTGTGACCTCCATCCCAGGCTGACCTCTATCTCCTCCTCTCTAGTCCCTCACCCCCACTCCCTCCAGGGGACCTGGGCCAGAGCTGCCGCCCACTCTCCCCTCCCAGGAGCCTTCATGGAAGGGGAGGGGGAACTAGCAAGTAGGAGCTGGAAGACTGAGGGGAGTGTTACCAGTCCACCTCAGCCAATGACCAGGGTACCCTAGGCCTCTCCTTCAGCCAGTATCATGAGCCTATGGCTTAGCTATAGCAAACCTGAGTCACCCAAACCCCAAATGGGCCGACATTGGCCCCAGTGGCCCTCATGTATAACCAGGGTCTTAAGTCAGGACATTTTTGGAGCAGGCCAACCCTCCTCATTCTGAGGCAGTCCTGACACAGGCCTCAGTCCCACACAGCCTGCTCTCCACAGGGGCTGATGGCTCTGACCTAAATGCCTGGAATTACAGTACTATCCTCAGATGCACTAACCTTACTGCTATGTAGCCAAAGGTGACCTTGAACTCCTGATTCTCCTGCCTCTACCTTCTGAGTGTTGCCAATGCCCAGTTTAGGCCGTGCTGGGGATTGAACCCAGGGCTTTGTACACGCTAGGCAAGCACTGTACCAACGGAGCCACATCCGTAGTCCTAATCTTACCCCCACTGTACATGTGAGGAAACTGAGGCACAACACAGAGTCCTCCTTTTCCAATGAGTGGCTTCTCTGGGCTTGCATCCAAAGCCCCACTGTAGAATTTCCAGACTATTTTGACTCCCAGAACCTGCAAGAGAACTCTGAGCTGGCCCAGTGCCCAGGATGCAGGGTAACACTATCATTCATTCATTCAGTCAGTCAGTCATTCATTCATTTGTTCTTTTCCCAGTACAAACTCTTCTGGCCTCCCTCCCGTGAGTCTGGTGCTTTCTAATAAGATAGAAGACAATGTTGGCTCCAGGGAGGACCGACCATGTGGGTGTGAGTGAGCGCTGTCTTTGACCACCCTCACAGCCAGGGTCTCTGGGCGCCAGTGGCTGCTTATAGAAAGACCTAAAGGTTTCAGGTAGTCTTTGTTGCTCAAGCACAGGCCAAAACAGGACTGTCCCAAAGGCAAACACAGGGCTTCCCCACCCTTTGGTGCGTCTGGCAGGAGTCCTCTTTTTAGAGTCTAGATTTCACAGGCACGCATGACAGCCATTGCCAGGGAACACTGTGTTTCCCTTACAGCTCCCACCCTGCCCCAGATTCCTCCCATGGTTTTGGGGTCCTGCCAGCCCCCGCCAGCCAACTCCCCTACTCTCCTGCTTCCTGTCTGGTCAGAGACCCTGCCCCATCCACAGCTCCACCTCCTGTTCCAGATAGGCCCAGAAGAGGTGTTGTGGCCCCTGGGGGCTGAGGATTTTGTGGGGAAGAGGATGTATCTGTCTGCTCTGCTGAGGGGGTTCAGTGTCCTTCTCATCTCCCTTCTCCAAGGTCAGAGTCATTTCCTAGCTCTTGCTAGGGCTTTGCCACTCAGGTCTATGAAGAGTCAACACAGTGGTGGGTGGTATAGTGAAAGGGCTTTGCCACCCAACTCAGTGGTAAGTGGAACAGCACATGTCAAGTGCACTGAGATGTCTGTGTCCAGATGGTCATTTAGCAGCTGTGTGCCTTTGGGCAAAACACTTAACCTCTCAGAGCCCACAGTTTTTCATGCGGACACAGTTCTATCATCTGTTACCCTATCTCATTGGCTCCGAATCTGTTTTGGAATTCAGAACTTCTCAGAGTTGTGCTGGGGATGTAGCTCAGGGGTAGAGTGCTTGCATAGTAAGCTTCCTTCTGGGGCTTCAGGCTGTACTCAAATGAGATTTCAGCAGCAAAATGTATGAGTATTGACTCTCACTAGGATAAACAAAGTCTTTAAATAGCCCCAGGTCAAGTTTAGCGTCAAAATGAGTTATAAAAATACATTGAGTTGTCGTTTGGGAGATTTTGATGATGAAAATAAGGGAAAGATGCTGAGCTCAGTCAGTGCCCTGGACATGGCAAAGGGCTGATGGAGGACACTTAGACTGGGCTGGACTTGAAGTGGGCAGAGAGCATTCCAGATGCAGAGGTGGGGGGGGGCTCTGGGTTCCTGTCTCCAGAGACCTAACAGCCCTCACCCTGGCTCAGGCTGGGTGAAGGCAGTCATGGGCAAAGCAGAGGGGCCATGGCAACTGCTCTGGCTACCCACTGGCAGGATGAAGCTTGGCTCTGCCGAGAAAGCTACACCCATCGGGTTTGCTGGTGACTGCGCTGGCTCCCATTCCTACACTACCCACAACTTCGGGGGTCCATTGGACCTTGAAGCTAACCAGATTAGGAACCCTGGAGGAGATCATTCCTGAGGACATCACCTCCCCCTTCCCAACAGTCCTGGGAATTGTCACTGCACCCAGATCCACAGCTCTGCAAAGGCTCCCTGGGAGGTGGGGCACTCCCGCTACTAAGGGTTGGTGCCCGTTCTATACTTGAACTCCTTCTGTCTGGGTCCTGCAGCCTGCCCCCAGGGTGCACAGCCCTCCGTCCATCCTCTACCTTGGTCCCCATGGGATGGGGAAAGGGGACAGAAGATAGGGGACACAGGGCATTCCACAGCGCTTACCCAGGCGCAGGGTGAGGTTGACCGAGGTGGGGTACTGCACCCCGAAGGCCATGGACGGGCTCTGCCACCAGGTGCTGTCGTCGGGGTTGTGAAAGTCGGTAAGGTAGGAGGCGTCGTGGCGGCGCTGGGGGTCGGCATCATCGCAGCGCTGGCACTGCAGCCCCGCGCCGGGCGCGCCCACGTGCGGGCAGAAGTCCTCGGGGGGCCGGCCACACGTGTGCGAGGCCTCGGCGCGCCGGCCGAACGCCGCGTTCTCGAACTCGGGCAGACAGCGCTGCGCGCGCCCTGCACGGTCATAGCAGGAGCCCATGCCCGCGCCCTCCGCCCGCCACGCACCCAGCGCCACCAGCGCCACCAGCGCCACCAGCGCCAAGCGGGGCACGAGCGCGGCGGCAGCCATGGCCTGCGCCCTTGTCCCAGGCTGGATCTTCGGTGGACCCCAATCTGGATCAACTGAGCCCCAATCTGCTCTGCACCCGGCACCAGCCCAACCAGGCAGGCGGGACCCGACGGCATCCCAGGGCGGGGCCCACGCGGGCGACACCCCACCGTCCGCCCCAATCTGCCCCAATCTGCTCTGCACCCGGCACCAGCCCAACCAGGCAGGCGGACCCGACGGCATCCCAGGGCGGGGCCCACGCGGGCGACACCCCACCGTCCGCGCTCGGTCCCTTGGCGCTCACCCCCACCTGCTGGACGTGCCCGGGAATGTTTGGCTGGGCTGGGGACTGTGAGCCTCTCCCCTCCCCCTCCTCTGAGAAAGGGGCTTGGTAGAGACATTGGTTCACGGCTTGATGGGGCATTTCCATGGAAACCGTGTACCTGTGCCTTTGTGATCGGGAGATGAAGGGGGACCGAAGGCCACGTCGGCGTGGCCCTCACACTGCAGAATGACCCTTGGCAACTTCCTGAGACAAGACGGCTCCTTTCCTGTCGGGGCGGGGGGGGGTCCTCTTCTAACCCTCCAAGTGCTGCCGCTGCCTCCTCTCCTCCAAAGCAGAGTCGCTCACCTGGAAACTGTCAAAGGTATTTCTCTCATCACCAGCTCCACCTGCAGAGGCTTTCCTGCCCCTGCATCAAGCTATTTTCCTTCACAAGGCAGCTTCAAGTCTTTGTGGACCCTGGAACCAGATATCTCATAGCGAGGACCACCACTCTGAGCTGGACACTGTCAGACCCAGGAGGTCCAGAGTGGATAGGTCCAGCCCAGCATGGAATTCAGGGCCAAGGTTAGGGAAGTGGTCCCCATGGGGTCAAGCACTGGTCATCCAGAGTGCACTGTAAGCTGTGTGAGCCTGAGGCACAGACCCTGGTGTGGCCCCTACCTTGTGGCCTTCCCCTTTCTCATGTGGATAGCCTCAGGGGCTGCAGGGGCTCCCTGTATGACCAGCTGATGAGAGGAAGAAGCCGTGCTGTGGGTGTGTCCACTTGGTACACAATTACAAGACCGAAATGGGCTGCTGGTGCACTTCTGCCTAACTCAGGGTAGCCAGTGTGACTGGACCTGTGGGGAGGGGTGAGCTGGGGACTGTGATATGGAGGTGACAGGCCAAGGAGGCCAGCATCCTTTGCCTCAGGCTCTAGAGCACAGCAGACTTCCCCACCAAACCCCTAATAGCTGCTAATCAAGGACTCAGCTTGGGTGACGCCATTGGTTAGTGTCTTCGATCAACCTATAAGGCTTTTTATCCATTTGCTTGGGAGCTTGGGAGCTTAAGTAGGCGAGGACTGTCTATGCTGCATTAGCCACATGGTGTTTGGAGTCTAGCAGACCTGGGTTTGGGCCCTGTCTGTACCATCCATGTGACTGTGGCAGGTCTACAGCCTCTGTCCCACCTTCTCTGCATGCCACCTGTACTACAAAGACTGCCCTCTATCCTCACTTCCCAGCTGCCTTTGCAGCCATGGTCCCCCAAGCCATCTTCTGCCCTTCTGGTACACACGAGGTCCCAGAAAAGGCAGGTTTTGCCCCATGTGCCTCCTCTTCCCCAGCCTATATGGAGAGGCTTCTGTGTGGTCGCCAAAGCCACAGTGGCTTCCTGATCACCCCAATCCCACTCTGGGTCAGAGGGGAGGCTACATCGTAGAGGCGGCGGCTTCCCCAGGGAGCCGATTCTGCAGTGTCCTATGTGGCAGCCCCTCTGGTCCCATCAATCTTCCCCAGAGCACATTAAGACCCAGCATTTGGTTGTTCCTGTTGGAAATGCCTAAGCTTCGGAAAGAGCACAGCTCTGAGCACAGAGAGGATTACGACAGTGAAGCCCAGATCCTGCCCTCCACACACAAGTCCTCCCTCCAACCACCTGTGACACCGCCAGACTTGTTTCCAGCTGTGTATGAGCCCGGTTCCAGCTTACAGCTGTTCATTCCTGAGCAAACCTGTCTGCTCCCCTCTGTATGCCCTCACTGTGCTGGGATGGGGTGAAAAAGTCCCAGAGCCTAGTGAGGGGGACACAGCTTCTCACATGGTAGGTGCTGAGTATGAGTCTGACCAAACACAGCACATGGCGCTGAGATAGGAGCTGGGGGAGGGGGGAGCGGCAGAAACCAGTTCTGTGTGGTCACAGGGGGTTCCTGGAAGAGTTTGTGTGTTCTACGGCATTGGGTAGGGAGTGGGTCCTGGGCATGGGGGTGGGGCTGGAGCAGGGTGCCAGGGACAGATGATAGGGGTAATGGGCCTAAGGTATGAACTGACCTTTGTTCTATACTGGGGCTGCAGGCTGAGGTCTCTCTAAGAGCAAGGGTCACAGGTCACATGTGCCTCACCTCAGTATCCCCAAGGCTGCATCCAGGGGCATTCGTGCAGGGCCCCAGGGCTGGCAAGAGCTGGTCTAGAGGTGATGACTCCTTCCAGGACTGGATGGGCGACTTCCACCTGGGTCAGCACCCTTGGCTGTTGATGTCAACAGAGGCCCTCAGAGGCACCTCAGGCTCTCTGTGAGTCTTCCATCTCCTAGAGCCCGCAAGGTGTGCACACCAACCACCAGGTGGCGACATTGGCTGCAGTACCAGGACAGGCCTTTCCTGCCCCCTAGTGATTGAAGAGACCGCTGCTGGCTGCACAGTTCTGAGTGGACCTGCAGTCAAGGAGGAAGGCCAGCGATAGGGAGGAAGGACACCGGGCCGCCTCCCCTTCCCCTAATGAGCACCTACCTTGGCTCCACAAGCTCTGCTCCCTTACTCCTGTCCCCAGCCACCTAAGCCCGAGCATGTCCTGCCTGTGTGGCTGGGTAGATGGGGAACTTTGAGGGGCCTTAGAGACTGGAGCGACTCCCAAGAACACATAGCAGGAGGCGGACAGAGCCAGGTCTCCAGTTGTCTGGGGGACCCCAGCTACCTGGGAAACTCCAGCCATCTTTCATCCCACTGCCCAAGAAAGACACCTGCTCCTATGCCCATCACCAGTCCTGGGGAGTCTCTGTCCATAGGCAAGTACCTGCATTTCAGACTCAGTGGGGATCAGACTGGGAGGCCATAGGGGGTCTTTTTCATCCCTCCGTTCTGTAAGAGCTTCGAGGCCCAGAGACGCCTATTTCCCTGGTCTGGGCCATAAAGTTATTAGGGTCTGGGAATAGCTGTACAAACAGGGAAAACAAGGCTCCGAGTGGTGAAGTAACAGGGTCCCTCCTTCCCTTTGGATTGGGGGGAGGTTCTAGCAGGGGTTTCAAAGAGGGACTAGGGCACATAATCCAGGAACCAGTGTGGCATAGGGGTATATGGGTGACAACAGAGGTGTCTGTAACTGCTGGAAAGGGCTGAACTGGACAGCTGGGGATGCCGTGAATGGAATGCTGGACCATGAGTGGGTGCTGTCACCTGTCCATCAAGGAGACTGTTCCCAGTTCACTGCATTTGCTCATCCGTCCGTCCAGGGGGCATCTGCCCTGTGCCACTCCAAGAGAAGATACTGAAGGGCTGGAGCGTGGCTCGGTGGCAGAGCTCTCACCTAGCTTGCACGAGGCCCTGGGTGCCATCCCTAGCCCTGCAAAAAAATAAGAAGGAAGAGGAGGTTCCGAGTGCCACTTTGGGGAAGGAGCTACCACTCCATCCCAGAGTCTGTCTCCTGAAGCCAGGACTCCCGACTCATAGAACTTAAAACCCACAGAAGCCCCAGGTAACATGGCCTGTTTCCCTTTAGCCTGGAGCTTTGTGGCCTGATCCCAGCCTCATTCCCTGAGCCCTGGGCAGCAGATCCTGGGTCTAGCTTTGCAAAGTGGAAGCTCTGGCCCCACTTTAATCCACATGCCTCTGCAAGTGCCTCACAGGCGTCAGTTCCTGCTGGCCTGGGGCTCTGGGGCCTCCCCCAGCAGCATTTTATCTGGCATTCTTCCAGGAGCAGCAGCCTGGGAGGGAGAGGGCTAATGTAGACAGGGGTCGTACCCCCTAAAGGCAGGGGATGGGAAGGGATAAAGGGATGGGAAGGAGAAGGGAGGTGAGACTGGCTGGGTGGAGGGACAAAAATAAGGCAGGCAGGGTGCTTAGGTCTAGGTGAGGGCAGCAATAGGGAGCCAGGAAGGTTCTGGAGAAATGGAGTGCCTGTTCAGGCTTCCTTGCAGAAACTGGATGGGGAGTGGAATCCAGGTGACCAGCATGGAGGTGGTGGCAGGAGGGTGTACACAGGTCTGAGTGTGTGGGGGCTGAGGTGACTTCACGGTGCTCAGGGCCTCTGTTTGGCCTCCCTTCCCCGAAGCCCACCCACCAAGGGTTAAAACCTTCCAGGCAAGGAGGAGGGAGCAAAAACGTTGTTCTGATTTGCTTAATGAACGCTAATTAAGGAGACAGAAGATAGCTGATTCCTCCAGGACAGAGATGAAGGTCTGTTAATTAAATCTGGGGAGATGGCTGGAGCCTGCTGATCCCTCCTGACAGCTCTTGGTGCTGCAGCAGCCCCGCTGGGGCCCAGAGTCCAACACTCCAGAGGGGGATGCTGTTTCCCCAGGCCAGTCTAGGGCCCCGCACTGGAGGCCTAGAGAGGAGCCCAGAGCTGGGTCTTGATATACCAAAGTCTCTTGGCTGGGGCTGCACCTCAGTTACCCTACATGCACTATAAACGCCCTGCTAGGCTTTAAACCTCTGTAAGTCTATCCACATGTCTGGGTCACAGTCTCCCGTCTGTTAAGTGAGGGGAGCCACTTGTTCCACAGATAGTTCCAAGAGCAGGAGGGAAGAGCTAAGGTGGGGGACCCTATGTGGGAGCACCTTATCGGGCAGCCAAAGGGCCAGTCTCAAACCCAGACGGCCTGCAGCTGGTGCCTGCCTCACACTGCATTCACTCACCGGCTTGCTCACTCACTCCTCCGGGGCACCTGTTGTGTGTCCACCTCAGTAAGAGAGCACCATGTTACAGAGCACGTGGGCTGTCAGTGACCACCGACCTCCTGCTGAGATAGTGGTGAAACGGTGACTCAGGAGCAAACGGACGAATTC